TTAACCGTTAATATCATTCAAGAACATTGACATTAATATTAATGATTAATGAAAACATTAATTTTAAAATTAATGTTAATGTTTTTCATTAATCATTAATATTAATGAATTAAGTTTTTCTTAGAAAACATTAACCATTAAGATTAATGGTTAATGAGAAACATTAACATTAATATAAAATTAATGTTAATGGCCCACCCCTAAGATAAAACATATTGAAGATGCATTTCTAGCTTTTAGAACTTCCCTGATATACGTTTATAGTTGAGTTGTCGTTACCTGTCAGTATCCGAGTGTGTGAATATAAATGAGAGTATGCCATTTTTTAATTCAACTATACTGAGTTCATGCCGAAATTGAATTACACTAAATAATTCAAAATTTCTCTATGTTGTAAGAAACATTTAATTCTAGGATCTACGTAGAATTTTCAGTGTGTGGGTGTTAATCGTTGTAGTTATGAATGCAGATGACGATACTGCTTATATTCATACTCATTCATCCACCTACATTCCAATAATACAACGGACATCAGTGTGTGTATTTCTATTCTCGTGTACACCCAATATTGAAGACTCCAGTAGACTCCAATAAATTTTGTTAGAAACCAAATTATTGTGTAATTCATATAATTTTTAAAATTTTCTAATTAATTCCTCGGATCCACTGACTATACTATACTCTATACCTATACCTACCAACATTCATTCGCACACTTGCAATATTTCACTGTATAGTGTCAAACGTTTGGATCATTTTATAAGTTCTGTTGAACGTTCTTGAAATTTTTCATCGAAAAAAATTCCAAAGATCCTATCGTAAAAGGCTTGCAAACATTTCGATGTGCATTAAAAAAGACAGCTTTTTACACTACACCCTCCATAACAGGATTTAGAAATAATATTCACTCTGTATCTGTAATATTTATTAATTGATATATTGAAGAGATAAGCCCAGGTCTAGCATTACAACTGCCAGAAACGGTCGTATTCGTCCGTAATCCAGTGCATATCAAACTGCCGTTTACGACCGTGTGGCATTCACCTGGGAGAAATAGTAATTGCTTTTGAATGTATTCATTATTTGACAGTGATAGTTAATTTAAATAATGACTGGAAAAGTAAACTGTTTCAGTTCAGTTAATTTTTTTTATACAATAGAAAACATCTATAATAATTTGAAAAAATTTCAACTCGTGACGTTTTCTTTCTGACTGTTGTAAAGAACAAAAAAAACGAAATCTCTAGTTTGATCAATTACAGAGGATTTTGTTTCTTCAGCTTTGAGTGTTTTATTTAAAAAGAATTATTATAAAAATTGTCTTCAAGCGAGACCAAATACCTTTCGCTGATGTGAAAAGATTATGGGTAAAACCGTCGAGACCCATCCACTTTTGGGAAAAGTTTTTTTTTCGAGTTTTTTTAGCTCAAACCTCCGGTATGATCTAGAAAACACTTTTGATGGAAAAAACCGGAGCCTTCTAGCGAATTTTCGAGCTATACTCGATTTTTTAGGAACGACTCCTGTATACTGTCAACCATAGGAAAAACGTCAGGAAATCACCTAAAAATCTTCTGAAAACATCTTTTTTATAATTTTTTCGTGCTGAAAAAATTAAAAGCTGTGCAGAAACACTTTTTCTGGAAAAAAAACGAGCATTTTTGTCGAACACCTCGATTTCTGTACTATTTTTTCTAAAAATATTGATAACTGTTATTTGTCATGTTGAATTTCACTGCAGTTTTTAGCAATATTTCTCAGACTGGTACCGGCGATAATGACGTTCGGGATCGCACATCATCGTTGCAATAGATGACCTTAAGTACTTGATGGCATCGAATTTACTCCAAAACTATAAGATCAAGTCTGAACGAATCTGGTATAGTAGGGAAGTCAAATAATTTCCGGTGTATCAGAGTGCTGCATATCACTGTTCAGTTTCATTTCACAAAATCAGATACATCGAAGTCGCCATAAAAATGAAAATTATTTAAATGTAAATGTCCTGATGTGAGTTGATCTAGATGTTGTACGATATTGAACCGTTGTGTCACTCGTTGGCTGAAATTCATGCATCATTCGGATTCCTCGTATTGTGCCTAAATCGGAACTATCATTAGCTATTTTCAAAAGATGATTTTTCTTACCTGATTTTCGAAATTTTTCGCTTCTGGCTTTCAAAAAGTTGTTCTTTGCCTTTTCAACCTCCTCGGCTTCAATATAGAAGACGTAAACACCTGGACAATCTTTGTTAGATCTTTCTTCGATTGTAAGCTGCTGTGCTTTAGAGAACTCAAAGAAATCTTTTGCCGTCGACAGAAGAATATTCTTGGATAGAGTAGCACGTCTAGCAATGGTCTTTATAACGGTGCCAATGCCACCCCCAGCTCCTTTTCCATGACCGGCAGCTGTGAATGTCAAAGCCGCCTCCAAATCGTAGTCAGTTTTATGATGAATTAAATTGAGAATGTTGGCATTATTCTTAAAATGCGCACATGCTCCATCACTAAAAGAGAGAACAGAGTTTACGTGCTATATGAAATTCCAATAGTTTTGTTTTTCTAGTAAGAGTAGACTTACCTAAGATAATTGATCTTTTTCACCAGTGGAAAATTTTTCTTGATGAATTCGGCGAGAACCTTTTGTGCACAATAAACAAAGGCTGTTGTATGTTCCAAGTAATTACTGATAATCGCTAAATTTCTTTGTCCTTGTCCGATTGTCAAATGGATCGTAAACAAAGTGGCTTGATGTTGACTGACAAACCCTTGTTGAACTTCACGTTGGCGTAACAATGTGTAATTCATTGAGAAATCAATTTGTGCTACAATGAACGACTTGTCTGTCGATTGACTACGTAAATCTTTGATATATTCCCGTTGTTCACGATTTGAAAACGTGTGAAGTAAAAATGTGGACCATCTTTCTTTAATTTCAGTGAGCAGCGAGTCTACCGAGTCGATCATCTGTTGAAGGTCAAATTTATTATCGACTTTTTTCCACAACGTCCATGAGCATTCTTCATCTAGATCCATAGAATTGTTATGAGTAAGAACATCTGTGATATTTTCTATTGGACAGTCGTCGAATTCTTCATTGAAGTACTCTTCTTTCTGAGTGGTACACACCATTCGAGTAATCAAGACTTTCATATCGATCTTGTTGTCAGCTGATAACGACTTTACACCATATATTTCTGATAGTACTTGTTCCATCCCTTTGATGAAAATAAGATACAATCGAATCAAATGTACAATCGATACAAACCTTTATCAATAGATCCATGTTTTCACGAATGATGCACATACATGTTTCATGTGGTGTTGCAATTTTTACTTCGTGTGGTCGAACAACAGTGAAAGTCGACCTTGAGACAACTCCAGGAAATCGTTCATTGAAAATTCGATAGGCATCCAAGATGGTCATTTCCAAAAACCGAACTATTGCTGGTTTTCCGTTAATTTTGATCGTGTCTTTAGAGTTGGATGATGCTCGACTGATTCCATCTTCATAATAGAACTTAGCTACAGAATCAATCGTTGTACTAGATAAAGAAATGTTGCCTCGTAAAGATTGTGGATAAGCTAGCATTCCTTTATTTTTTCGAAGAACGACTGATCATCGAGCTTGATTTGTGTTTGATTGAAACCTAACTGACGAAGACGGTTTTAGTGTCACACGATTGAACAAATGTTAAGAAATTGAAACTAATGAGAATAAATACGAACTATTTTTCGACTTTTTGCCGACCCCATTCTTTAGGAGCAATTGTCATTAGGCGAACTTGTTCATCGGTATTACTTTCGGCGAATAGTTTCTTTAAACCATCCAAAAGTGCACTTCATCGACTCTAACTCGAATGGACGACACTACTGATCTAAATATAAGAGTCGTGGAAGAAAATTCGGGAAAAATATATGCACATACTTTTCATGGATAGGATCAATGTTTAACAATTTGAAGATGGTCGGCAATTGTTTCGTTACTTTATTCTTCTGATACTCGCGTTCATATGAAACAGGGTTCATCTCTTCATCCATCGATGCATGATCAGCTGTCTCATCATCCATAGTTGAGATATGATCATCATTCTCTTCCAAGTCCTCCACGATGCCACTATCCATTAGCGGATTTCGTTCGTTCTTCTTCTTCATTCACATCTTGCAATTCAGCATTCATTGAACCATCATTTTCAGCGTCATGAACAGAAGAGCTCTCTGACATGGCTTCAATTTCACTAGAATTATCGTTATGACTTAATTCCATTGATGGACGAGTCAACATTTCCTTCCATTCGAATGCATGACATCTTGGACATAACCAGCGTATTTTGTCGTCAGGAGCGTCATATCGAGAAATCAAAAAATTGGATAGACGAGTAGATACAAACACTACTCCTTTGGATACACGAGTAGAATTTGAATGTTTTACCGGATGTTCACAGCACTTGCGTTTTGGCATTAAGATACAATTTTTAAAGAAATCAGAAAAAATACTAGTTGGTAATTGACTCTTACCGGTATCCGATGATTCATCTCGTAATATCATTAGTCCGAACTCCCGATGTTTATACATAAGACTTCATATTTAAAGATGTCCTGACAATGAAGTCGAAAATTATTCATTCTTATTATGTCCTCCTCTTTTACTATGCGGCTTCATAGAAGTAAGACCATATAACACCGTTTCTCTCTAGTAATATGCACGAAATCGTTAGTTAGAGACTTTCCGAAGAACAAAGCATGATCAACAAGGTCACTTCGTCGAAAAGAAAAACAAATTCATCAAAAAACAAGCAAAATTCAACATGACAAATGACAGTTATCAATATTTTTAGAAAAAAATAGTACAGAAATCGACGTGTTCGACAAAAATGTTCTAATTTTTTTTCCAGAAAAAGTGTTTCTGCACAGCTTTTAATTTTTTCAGCAAGAAAAAATTATAAAAAAGATGTTCTCAGAAGATTTTTAGATGATTTCCTGACGTTTTTCCTATGATTGACAGTATACAGGAGTCGTTCCTAAATTGAGTATAGCTCGAAAATTTTCGCTAGAAAGGTCCGGTTTTTTTCCATCAAAAGTGTTTTCTAGATCATACCGGAGGTTTGAGCTAAAAAAACTCGAAAAAAAAAACTTTTCCAAAAAAGTGGATGGGACCCCATGGTTTCACCCATATATATATGATCCAACAGATAGATAAATGTACTTAGTAATTTGAAATTTAAATTAGTTGGAGTTTGAATCAAAATTTAGACATCTAAAACTTTGTCTCGTGTAAAAATTTTGTTCAAATTAAATTCAAATAAAAGAAAATATATTTTTTTTCTAACAAATTATTTATAATGCAAATATTTCAAAAGATAATTTAAACATTAGCCGTTTGAGTTTTTTATTATTATTCATATGTTCTATTTACATAGTGTAGTTTGATCTATCCTGCCATTTGTTATTAGGATTAATATCGTACATAATTATAGTAATACATTGCTACTTCGAACAGCAACTCTTCCCTTGAAATATTAAACATCATACATAAATTTACTTTTTTTTGCATCAGCAATCAATAGCGTTTTTGAAAGAACATATGACATCATCGTTGGAATACATTTAGTTGAGCAAAACTTTTGATTACATCTCTTTTAAATTTGCGTTGTAAAATAGCAGATGAAATTATACATTAATAATAACATCAAGAAAAAGTCGATCAAATCGACTGATACACGCGTTCAAAATGATCAATACATATTTCAAAAACAAAATTTAATTTATACACAATACTTAATCTGTCAATTTCAATGACTTGATTTTTGCTTGAAGTAGTATTATTATTTGCTGTCGCTGATGATGTGATATTTTTGTTATAAGACGAAGAACGTAGAGGAAAGTAAATTTGATAGTGGACGCTATTGATTGAAGAATTGTACCGTGCACTCTTAGTTCTTATTGAAGCTAAAACAAGTGTTCTTTCTAGCAGTGTTAGATGTTTTTCAGTTAGTGTTGCCAGAAGAAGAATATTTGATAATTCAATATCAACAATAACCCAACACCAAAGCTGTTGAAGAAATGCAAAAAGAAATCAAATTACTAATATTATTTGATAATACAAATTAAGAATTTTACTTTAACAGAAGGACAATCAAGTGATAAATTGTTAGGTATAGATAAAATTTGAACACATTCATCAATTAATAGATCATTTTAAAATAATTCATCTTTATGAGGAAAAATTCATTCCATGAAAACTTACTTTGCTCATACATTTATCTGATTGAATCGAAAATAGAGTTAATTTTGTTTGAATACATTTAAGATAATCTATTTGAAACTGAATAAGTCCGCCTATAAAAATAAAATTGCATACATACATATATGGGTGAATTGCAACTGTTTGGTACGATTCAATTTTAGCTGTATTTTTCTCTCTTCAGCCGGTTTAGACAATTTTTTGTACAGGGTAGTAACCCCTAAGTGTCCCATTTTCATACTACAACTTCAGCCCTTTATCTCATACTATAGGTGACTCATGAAAGATACATTGCAAAAAAACGCCATTTTTTTATAGCATGCACCAAAAAGGAATAATTTGACTACAAGAAATTAAGAAGGAATAAATACAAATATCAAAGTTTGTTCACCGTTCTATTGTAATATGTTATTGGTTTAAGTTTTATACATTAGCTATCCATTCACTTGTCAAACGTTCATATAGTTTGACAGACACTTATGTATTTTTGTGAAGAGTGACACAAATACTACTCCATCTTCTGCTGTTGTAGAGCTAGCGATTTTCAGAATATACGAAAAGAAAGATCGTTATACTTCGCTAGGTAGAACGATCTTTTTTTCCAAAACAGTTGTAGCGAGACGCTATTTTTTGCAGATATTTTGCTTATACTTGGTTTAGAAACGGTATTTTTAAGTATATCCTAACTCAACAGAATACATTTATCAGCTTTTCTTGTTTTGTGCTTTTTTTTCTATTATTTATTCTACATATATGTGGCAGGAGAAATTAAAATCCAGGAGAAATTAAAATTTTAATTTTTCCTAGGTACATTTAGGAAAATTTAAAATTTTCCTGAAATTTTAATTTCTCCTGCGACATATATGTAAAGTTCAAAAGACGATTTCAGTCGTTCTAAAGCATACAATGAATCTAATTAAAGAATTCTATTTAACTAAACGGTATATATATCAATATGAAACGTACATATTTTCATAAAAAAAGAACTGCAGATTCGTAATCTTGGTCGAAACCTGATTCGATAAACATATTATTAACAACATTTTTGATGCAAAAAATGTTTTCGAGAAAATCGGTGAGGGGTAGCAAAGATAAAAAGGTTCAAAAATGTTTTTTACGTTCAAATATTTCGATTTCTATACTATAGTCGACACCACTTTCGATGAATATCATGAATCTACACTTGTTTTTATGAAAATATATACATAATGAATAAAAATCGTGACATATAACCACAATCTCGCATAAAATGCAAGAAATTTGTTATTACCTATTAATTACACTAGTATATTTAATTTTTGATACGCATTATTTTGGTATATAACACTCTGCGTTATCATCTATACTTTAAGTTCAAGAGGGCAGTCATGATTTTACAACATTCTATAGACAAGGCATAACTCCGTTAATAATGGCTAAAGTGTCGGGAAACTGTTGCTACATAACCATGGCGTAGAGTATAATTAAATGCATTATCCAACAATTGTCTAGCTTTTGCTTTCATTTTGTTTTTGTCAATCGTATCAAAAAGTTGCAATTCATTCATATAATTACATAGCAAAGATTTAATACCCCCTCAATTTCAATGTATCATTAGATTTTGTATTAAGTCAATTTTCATAGATTAAAACTAATTGATAGAATTTTTTTTTCTATTTTTATTGGTTGGATGATAAAATATAGATATGACAACACTAATCAAACCATTGATCATCGTTTTTAATGGTAAACTGAGAATACCTACGGAAATTTAAAAAAAAATGCAAATAATTCTGATGTAAAATGAACAATTGTATTATTTGTTAATTGATATAGTACTGAACATTGTTGAAGTAAAATATGAATAATTAAATGAACAAGATTGATTTTTGTTTACGAAAACGTTTTTGATCTATCATAATTATTTTCAGGGCAATAAGCAAGAAGATAAATTATCCGGCCTCCGATTGCATTTTTTTTAAAATATAGGAATCCTTAGAGGATCAAAGTTGCCAAAAATATAGGATTTTCGATAAAAAAAGACAAAAATATAGGATGTTTTATACATAATTTCTGTTGAATTGTTTTGCTGTTTTTTAACTGCTCTGCTCGAAAATCGTTTTAATGAAGTTGTTATCAACAGTTCAGCCGTAGCCAAGATCCTTATGTAATTTATTCTACTGAAATAAGTCGCTAATTCGAGGATCATTATAAAAGTGTTTGACAAATCGATAAATAACAATAAAGTATATCATAAGCTTTGAAAAAACAAATGCTATTTCTCATAATAAAAAGAGACATTTCAGATTACGGACATGAGTTCCCAAAAAAATCTCAACCTAATTTATTGTTCTGATAATCAGCATTCATCGCTTATTATTTGCCACAAGTTTATTTTTTATTTTATCATAGCTCAATTTTTTCTGATAATAAATAAGTATAAATGAAAAATGCATGTACATAGGATGGTGTAAAATTTGACGGGCTTCCAGAATATTTTGTTATTTTTAAAAAAATATTTTCTTTTGGTAACAATATCCTCAAAATACAGAGTGAAGCTTTTTTCCAGGGGCGTATATATATATATACAGCTTTTATATCTAACTAAAACTTCACTAAAAACCCGAAACTAGTACATGATCACTTTGTGAATGTTTTTTTCTTTTGAACTATTTTGTATTCTGTACTTAGTATTAAACAATTTCTCAGTCAACCCACTAAATAGACGAAAGGAAAAATACTGTTTAAAACAAATGTCACTATAATACAAGGATTTGCCCAAAACACATGATTATACACATTAAAAGTTTTTTTTCGTCTAAAGACAATAGAAAAATGAAGAGATTTTCAGACATTTTCTATTTTTTGATAAAATATAGGAAAATATAGGACAAAAATAGGACGTTTTTGAAAATATAGGAATTATAGGAAATATAGGTCGAATCGCAGCCCAGTAAATTATTCTTCATTAACTCCAATATATTATTATATGAACTTCGATATTAATTCTGAAAGAGTCATAATTGAGTTTTAATAAAATGACAAGAAAAATACTATTCTTACTCCACGAAATGAAGATAAATCAAAATTTTAGAAATAAATTACATTTTGTCTTCATCAATAATAATCGTCAGTAATCAGAAAAACATCGTCTGAGAATCCCTGATATGTATGTTAAATCTTAAAAGTTACATATAGTATTCATTATCAAATATGACAAACCATTTCAGTGCAATTTAAAAGACAAGGAACAACACATAAATCAACGATCTGTAAATTCATTACCTTTGCCGAACATAATTCAAAAAATATTTGCAAAAAGTTTATCCCTTAAAAATTCTGATGATAGAAACCAAAATATTTTTTCAATAAATCTCTAAAAAATCTAGATGTAAACCATATAAGAGATTATGTTCAAGAAGTTTTTCATCCTGGCATATGATAGCGATGGAACTACTTTGTGAATTCTTTATTGTAAACTAATTTATTATGAGTATAAAAAGAAAATCAATTTTAGTAAAAGTATTGCAATATTTATTTGATTTTTAATAATTTTGATTGAAGATGAAAAATTAATCGGCAATAATCTGAAACTGCAGAAAAATATAATTAAATATATATGATCACGACCGATTACCTGATTTCTGTGTCAAAATATTTAATTAAAACATCAAGTGAGAAATTGTTTTAAGATAAATTACATTTCGAACTGTTTGTTGAATTCTAGCGTTAATTGATTAACTAACTATCTATTAAAATAAATTCAATATAGAAACAAAAACATTACCTTCTCAAACGATTCTATTGTATGTAAAAACGATTGTAAATTGTTGTTTAATTAATGAATGTATAAGCGATAGAATAAAGAAGCGACCCATGTTTTTTTCCACATACACTCATTGTTCCATATAGTTATGTTTGACAAATAGATCAATATGATATTTAGTGTTAATCGATGTAATAATAGAAATCGAATATATCCAAATGATTGATGGTTGATCAACTTGAGGATATTCGTCGTATTTCAAAGACCTAGAAAATATGAATTGTATAAGCGAGTAAAAGCGATTGAATATTACCATTTGATGTTGTTGAACTGATTGATGAAGAAATAGAGATCGAGTACTTGTTAATGTGTGTTATTAAAATCATGTAGAATTCAAGTAAACGCTATCAATAGTTTATAATAATAAAAACATTCGATAAAATCTGTAAGAACAGTTCGATCTCATTTTGTGTTAAATGAATCAATGTGAGTAATGTAATAGATTGACGTATCTTTCTGAAAACAACAAAATTTATATAAATTTATAGTGGAGCCGTCGTTTTTAATATTCCTTTCATTTCTGATTGATTCGATAAATTTTGAGATCCAATTGTAGTAAACTCATGTCTACAGAGACAGAGTGAGAAAGAAAGTGTTGGTGAGGGGGAGAGTCTTTCCCTTCTCTCCCCAATATCTCTTATCTCTTTCTTTTCTTGAAGTATTCATGAAAAAGAAACTTATCTAAGAGTATACTCAAGAGAGATTAGCTCTTTTCAGACTACTTCCCATGCCTTCTTTTCTAATAATATTATCACTTCAGCAGAGAGAGAGATTTTCTTTGATCTTTATGTTTTCTTTTCTAGTTCATATTCCTGCTAATGTCGTAGAATAATTTACATAGAGTTTAATAAAAGATATTCTAGAACAAAGAAGTAAGACATGTGCGATTTTATAAATAGGAAATGCTCTGTTTAATCCATTCACCACGATAGGGTCCACCGGTGGACCCCACTATATTTTAGTAAGAAACTTAATAGAAAAACGCTTTCTTTTCTTTTATTCTTAAGCGGAAGGTTACACATAATGTGCAATCTGCGTTGCCTTCGCTATTTTCAGAATCATTTGTTACAATCAGAACAGAAAGTTTTTACTCTCTTTGTTGTTGAATGACACGCTTCTCTTGGTTGTTGTTCCCTATTCTTCTCGTAACAAACAGCACAACGTCTTCGGACATCACGAGCAACTCCTTCTTTTTCTTCAAGTTTGTGATCAGCAAGTTTGCGTTTCGCTTGACCTATTGATTTTTGTCTTGGACCCGGCTTCAGCTTCTCGAATGGCATACCAAGCAGTAAAGATCGGACAAGACTTTCACGAAATTGCAGAATGGTCACTTTGCTTGCTGCGTAGTTTTCCTTGTATATCAAATAGCTATTTACCAGTGCCGTCCAAAAACTAATTCAAATGCTACTTTTCGGTACCACTTTATTGACCGTCTGAGGCACGTGTAATATGATGATAGCTGATCAGATAAATCAGTATCTATTCTTCCTTCATTGTAATCCAGTACAACTTGTGGCTTCATGATACGTTCATTTTTACTATTGATATTTGCAGTATCTACCACAGTTTCTGAATCCGACGGTCTTGTGGATATCACCAAGACGCGTTCTTTTTGTCTTTCCACATGATCAGTTTTACGTCTTCTTTATTGTGAAGTCCGTAAACTTCACCACGTCGAAGATTTTTTGAGCAACTTCGCTGCCTGATTCAGTAAGATTACTTTTCAGTGTCCCAATAAGATAGGTATCATGTTCTAATACAAACGCTTTGCCAGAGGAATGCTGGTAAAGAAGTTGCCAGCTACCACGGTTCGATAACATCCCTCAAGATCATCCAATAAATGCATCACCTCTGTTTGAGCATGCCCAAGACCTGCCATTGAATCTTGTTGATCGGTGTAGATTATATAATTCCAGGTGTATCCATCGGTAGCCGCCAGTTTGTAAATTTTGACGCCGTACCTCTCCAGGAATATAGTATTTGAACGAAAGACTGCCTTGCCATCACAAAAATGAATATTTCAAAGAAGTTCCTAATAAAACTGAATCGTAGTGGTGTGGGTTAAGAGAACGAAAACGATTCTAGCAAGAATATATTTTGATCATAGGAAAATAATACAACGTACGCATAATAAGATCATATACGAAACATCGAAATTGTGCATTAATAAATTTCTAATATTCATGTGTATGAGTCGCATATAAGAAATAAATCGTTATATATTGCAGTAAAACCTCTATAAGTGAACACCTCCTATTTGAACGCGTATCTTGGTCCCCCCGATCAATTTTTGCTGTAAATGAACCCCTATATAATGAACACCTCCCAACTCTGAACAATGAACGCTTTTTTTGGTTCATGCAGCTAAGAAAACCTCTATAAAATGAACACACGCGGCAACAATTTATAAGTTTGTGTGTGCAACAAGAGAAGAAAGAGATGAAAATTTTAAAAGAAGAATATAACGTGTATTCTTAAACAAGGTTACACTAATTAATCGGCGGTCTATTGATGACAACGAAACACACATTAACCCTTTCTGCAAAAGGTACAGTTGATTCGTGAAAATGAAGAGAAGTTTTCGTACCGTACACTTGTTGACAAATATAAGATCTCAATCGGCAGTGTATCTAACATTATCAAGCGCAAGGTCGAGTATATTGAAAGTTATGAACAAAATGAAAGTTCAACTAAGAAGCTCAATCTACGAGATGAATTCAGTCAATAGAATCATAGAAATTAAATAGATATGTGTAACAGATGAAAGACATACTCTTTGTTTTTACTTTAAGTTATTTGTGGCGAATTCTGATACGCAAGATGCGTAGTAGACACCAATCGGTATTACTAAACATGAACTGTATACATGCAAGAGTTCAGTTAATGCAAACCTCCATATAATGAACACTTTTTCAAGGGTCCTGTTAGTGTTCATTATAGAGCAGTTTTACTGTATATGTTTGTCTGTTCATAGAAAATATAGACTCGCATGTCTCAAAAACCAAGCAAAAACCAAGTAAAAGATAAACGTCTATAGAACTATTTTGATGGAAAAAATCTCATTTTAAACATAACAAGACACAATGATATAACTGCAAAGAAAAGAGCATTAGAGAGAACGATATGCTATATTCTTTCTACAGAATAATCTTTCAGTATATAGAAAAAACTTATTCTGAGGAATTTCTAGAAAAAAAGAATGATCAATTCAAAGAATTTTACTCGATACTTTCGAAATTATTTCATATATACTAGCTATACTCTAGAAAGATCTCATTTTATTCTTACGCTTTCTCTTCTAGTTAATATTCCTGCTAATGTTACATTGAAACAGAACGGAGTGACTATTGCTGGAGGTCACGGGGAAGGGAATGCCACTAATCAACTCCACTGGCCTCATGGTCTCTTCGTTGATGATGATCAAACAGTGGTTATTGCTGACTACATGAATCATCGTATCATGCAATGGAAGAACTGTGATACAACGAATGGACAAGTTGTTGCTGGTGGTAAAGGCGAAGGAAACGGATTACATCAATTGAAATATCCAGCTGAAGTATTAATTGACAAAGAGACGGATGGTCTCATTATTTGTGATCTAGGGAATCGACGAGTTGTACGATGGTCTCGTCGTAATGGCACAACACAAGGAGAAATACTCGTCGACAAAATCAGTTGTTCTGGATTAGCAATGGATGCGCATAGATATCTCTACGTCTCTGACGTCGAAAAACATGAAGTAAGACGATATCAATTGGATGAGAAGAATAGCACTATCGTAGCTGGTGGAAATGGACAAGGTGATGGAGTCAGTCAACTCAACGTGCCGAAATATCTCGTTGTCGCTCGAGATCAGTCGGTGTACGTATCAGACAACTGGAATCATCGTGTAATGAAATGGATGGAAGGCGCAAAAGAAGGTATTGTGGTTGCTGGAGGACAAGGCCGAGGGAATGCTCTGACACAGTTGTCTCATCCTAATGGAATCTTCGTTGATACGTTGGGTACACTCTTTGTAGCAGACTCGTCGAATCATCGTGTAATGCGCTGGACTCAACGAGACAAGAAACAAGGCACTGTAATTGTGGGTGGAAATGGCGAAGGAGCAGGAGAAAACCAGTTCCACTGCCCCTATGATTTTTCTTTCGATCGACAAGGTAATCTCTATGTCGCCGATGAGTATAATCATCGTGTTCAACGATTTTCTATCGAAAAAGACTTGTGAATTGTTTTTTCTTTGTTCGTTTCTTTTTCTATACTTTGAAATAAATGAACAAGAAAAAGAAATTTTCTTTCACTCTTCCGCTTCAAAGAAAAGAAAAAAACTAAAATATAAGATTATATCATATGTTTCTTTTCTTCTTCTCTTATTTATTTATTTGTTAAATGAAAACAAATGAATTAAATAAAAATTATTTTTCGCCAAAAATATTAATTATTAAAGTGAAAAAAATAAATTGTGTCGTTTTGAAAATATTTATGATTTAAATGAAAAAATAAAATTTTGCATTATTTAAATGAAAATAAAATTTGAGTTATTTTGAAATTATTTATTGTTAACATAAAAATATTTATTATTCAAATGAAAATATTCATGATTGAAATGAATAGAAAACGATTTGAGTTATTTGAATAAAGTTCATTTTAAAAATCAAAAAAATACAAGTTACAAAAAAATAAAACAACAGTAATGAAAATAATTATACTTTCTCTTTACGATAAATTGCACGTGAATGGATAGGCGTGAATCGTGTTTAACGAAAATAGTTATAGAGCATTGAAGCATATCATTTTGTAGAGAATTTAATTCTCTACTGGCCTATATATTTTACAATAAACCTCAGTGTAACGGTATTTACCGTTACGGCTCGCTTTATGTACTTTATCCTCTTCGCTGTATCCTATGTTTGTGCATTGACCTGATGAACTCTCATTGTTCTATTGCGTGACCGTTCCCTCTTTGTCTATATCCGCCCAAGTGTGATCGCTCTTGCGTATATAAGGGAATGTAACTAAAGGAATGCACTACTAGAGATGTGCAGATGACACAATACACCATCATGCCGACGGGCATAGGCGACACTCTCTATGTTCGTCACACTCAGCTTGATGTCGGTCTCTAAAAATCGGAAATATCGAAGCATACATAAAAATGCTAATTTTAATTAGCAATTATTATCATTACGGTAATTTTCAAAAAAGAGAGAAACGATTAAATTCAGCTTTCTTTTCTCTATCGAATGATATATTTTGAGTTAAAATTTTCCGGTTTTCTATAAAACCACTGGTGCTCCAGGTATTTCCATGTTTTTGGATCCTTATGAAGACATTTTGCAACTTTATTACACATCAACAGGTAGAGAAATGTTTTTTCTATCGAATGATATGTAATACAAAATAATCAGATGCAAAATAAATGTACTATAAAAAGAAAAATACAAGTGTCCGAATAATTTTTTTGTCTGCGAAATGCAGTGTTTTTCAGAAAGCCTTAGAAAAGTTTATGGAGATCTTCGGAAAAAGAAAATTGTTTGCATGTTAAATAAAGTAGAAATGACGGCCTATCGAATGATGTAATTAGAGTCTAACATATATTCTTTCTTCGTTGAAAAATTTAGCTTACAAGGTAAGTATCGAAGGGTGTCCGAATAATTTTTGTAGACACTGTATATATTCTAAGCTTGTAAATATCTCTTCTCCTTATATATTAATTTTGCAAAACTTGAATCTAAACAATGAATAGTTAGCTAATAAAAAAATAAGCTGGTGAATTCTGAAATATGTTTTTGAAGAAATGAAAAATAACATGGTAGTAGATATAGATTAGATTATTCTGAATGAACTTTTGTTTATTCTTGAAAAGACTATAAGGACACCTTGAAAATTAATTATGGTTGATAGAAAAAAAAGGAATCAAATAGTAAATGATAAAATTGCAATTTTGAGAATACGAAATGAAAAACTTTCTTCTAAATAGGCATGAAGGATTCTTTTTTGTAAGTTTTTCGAGATAGTTTATTTTGAAGCTATCTATGTTCAGAAGATTGAACAAAAATTGATATTTCTTATCAGAAGATATGTCATTTACTGGAAAAAACTTCTATTTGCGTTAGCCTAGAACAAGGATACGTGGTACATGTTTTTCAATTATGTTCATTATTGAAAGTATCAAAGAAAATATCTCAATCAGTAAAATGATCTCTAATCGCTTCTAGATCCAAAATCCCAATGAGAAAACGTTTTGTTCTTCAACATTATAGTGAATAAAAATGTATAGTTACAAGTATTGTATTTAAACGTGTTTGATTTAATGTAATCATCATACAATAATCAGTTCGTATCAACATTAACACTAGTCAATGAGATAAGCGTGAGTAGTCGAACCTATCATCCATTAAACTTAGCAGAAAAAAGTAATGAAATAGATGCAATAAAAATTTAAAAAAAAACTATTGTAAACATAGCCTTTTTGGATTCATATTGTCCATGAATGCGTAGATATCTAAAATGATTAATTTACCCTATAATTAGATTTCGATTTAGTTAGATGTTGTGAATTACTGCATATGAATAGTACGGTTGTTTTATTGCAGTTATATAATATATTTTCCATCAATGAAAACGATTCTTGTTGTAATGCTTACAAATTAAAAATTGTTTGTCTGAAAACGCACGTATCTTTTAATTGAACAGGAAATATGATAAATAAATGCATAAAAATAGACAAATTGAAATAATTGAAGAAAAAATCTACTAGATGACTAATAGATACATATGACGATCAAGATGAAATTTTAATTTAACGTTCAACGTTTCAGTCTTTAAAAGACCATTTTCAAGAACAATAATCATCATATGTATCTTTTAGTCATCTAGTAGATTTTTTCTTCAATTATTTCAATTTGTCTATTTTTATGTATTTATTTATTAAAGTAATTATCAATAAGAGTACATATTTATATTATATACTATAAATATCTAGTAAATGAATTTATACCATAAATAAAAATGTCTTTTAACGAAAGATTTTAACTTAAAAGTGATATCAATTTAATATTGTGGAGTTCTACTATTCTAGTTTTTAATAAATTAAATTTCAATGCAATATGTGTAAACAAAACATTTTAAGCCAAACTGACCAATTATGATAGTTAGTTGAAACACGATTTAGTTAAGATTCTACACAATCTATATTGCAAATTACATCCATAGAAATTTTCGTCGTTAGTTAACGCAAAAAAGAAATTAAACATTCTTTTGTTGTTTCACTAAAATCATTTCATGTGAACGTACTATAGCAAATCTATTATATATACATATAATCCATTTATGATGAAACTAATTTTATATTATTTTATCGAACAGCCATATACAGATAAAGAAACAGAAAAACAAGAAAGTGACAAATAAGAACATATACAAACGAAATACAGTAAATATAGTATGTAATGTGCGATTTTTATTATCCTGTTGCATTTGTGTCTATAAAACAAAGATTCAGAGTTTTGTTTAAATGTTCTTTCGTTATAAGACTTACTCCTATAAGTGTAGCAATCTATCTTGCTTTAGCTTATTTATGTCGAAGAAGTTCTTGATATGATTCACGTGTTATTTAAACAAACAGCCGATTGTGCACATAATGCTGATAATTCATTATTTTCAATTTCATAAGATCCACTTTTTCCCCATTGCAAAATATTGGTTCGGTTACTGAATGTCGTCACTTTTTGTTAAACATTGATTTAGTATTTGATCATAATTAACTGTCATATCATTCATTTGTCGATGATGACGAACTATTTCTAAAGCATATTTTAATGTTTGCGATACTGTATTTATTTCATTTATTAAACGTTGTTATGTATATACATATGAATGTATACATTCAAGTTCTTGACTTTATACACTATTACTCTCGTGATCAAATTCACTCTGAAATTATTTTTTATTAAGAAAATAAAAACTCGATGATAAATGTTCATTTTTATCGACTAATGCACGTAAACGTTAAATTTCCATTTGTAATTGTATGATTTATCTAATGTATTTATCGTGATTTACTTTAGTACTAGTATGTATATTGTGTAAATGTTGTGCATAATTAATTGTACCTTTTGCCTCCGAACAATCACGATCAACGGATGGAATACTAGCTATCATTAGTATTCGACTATAAAATAAGACTTTAGTTAATTTGATATTCACAAAAATCTTTATGTAGATATTTCCACATAATGAATCTTGTAATAAACGTGTTAATTTTGAATCACGATGCGGTACATGCGCTGTTTTTGTTTTCATTGGATCATCTAAGATTAATATGACATTTCCAAGGACAAGCTAAATACAATAATAATCAATTATTCAACAAATAAAAAGTTCTCTAACGCGAATCACACCACTATTAATACTTTATCTTTCTTTAACATGTTGACCTATTTCACCTGTTCGTTGTAAACTTCCCGAGTCAGCTAAACCAACATCATGTATTTTAGCACGAGTTTGTTCGCGCAAATTTGGATTTGGTATCTGAATTAATAAATTAAAAACATAAATCTATTGAATATAAAGTTTTACTTACAGATATTGATTGAATAGCACGTTCAAATTCTAAATTTACAGCAAACATGGCATATGATCGACTTAATACACTGTTTATACGTGTTGATGCTGTTGTTCGATTAAGAGCACCTCATTTCAAGTCATCAAGTGTCTACACATAAAAAGAAAATAAAAAAATAAAGCATCATAAGTATCCGCTGGTTCAACTGCATCCCAAGTCATCCCATTCTCACGGAATATTGATTTCTCTGCGTATCTATCTGATCGGATGCTAGTACAATTGACTCAGTTGTAAACCTACATTGTGAGTATTAGAATAACTGATGACGAGATTATCGGAAAACTAGAATTTTCTTAAACTAAAACACGCCTCAAGGACGTGCTCAGAGAAGAATGACTAATCATTTCCAGAAAGACATAAACATTTCGAGAAAGGAATTTACTCATTTTTACAGGTCAAAATATACCTTATTTTTGATAAGTCTTGTGTATGCTATTTTGATGTTGAATTCATACTAAAAGATATTAATACTTTGAAATCTTCACTTCGTTAACAAATCTCACGTGCTGTTGTAATAAATCGTCTAGTTATATCCACAATTGCTATTTCTTCACTGCTGTTTTCAAATACTACATGTTTAGCAGCATTTCTTGTACGAAAGTAGACGTTTTCTTTAATAAATAAATAATAAATAGTTTCAGTATGAATATATTCAAACAAGAAATTAACAATAGAAAATTCAATTTCACTATTCATTATAAACATTTCTCTGAAATAAAATAAATCTTCGTAAGAATAAAGTTTTTTTTTCACAACTATTTACCTGAAACCATTTTGATCATAAACAAGTATAGACGTAATATAACTTTGAAAATATCCTTCAGTCATATATCATAGATATATTCACGATAGAGATCCTGATCAGTTTCTCGTAAAAAAATATGATCAAATGTAAAAGCTGCATCATTAACGAAAAAATAAATTCATTTGTAGTACGTTGTACATCAGCACATGTTGTTGACCAGAGATGGACGGGGTAGCTAAAAAGCCACCTCGCAGCCGCACCGCCCCTTCTCGCCCCGTCCCGCTTGTCAAATACATTTTAGGAAGCAAGCATTGATAGTCACCTTTCATAATTTTAATTTTATTGCATGCCATCAAAAGGCATAACCCAAATATACATAGTTTCACAATAAAAAAATATAATAAAAATAGAAAGATACAATAATAATAATAAAAACAAAAACAAACGCTCAGTTTTTATTCACTGATCTCGAAAACAAAGCGTTGTTCACTTGTTCAGGATTCAGTCGAGTACGTCTTACGTTAATCATTAGACCACTGCCGCTAAATTGCCGCTCCACATTGGCTGTAGTTGCTGGAATAGAAAATATCGAACGTGCGAGCTTTGATAAAGTAGGGTAAATAAGCCGATGCTCGTACCAAAACTTCAGAGGATTTTCATCAATAAGTTCAATTTCAATCCGCTGCTCCAAATACTTGCTTAATTCGTCATCAGTGTCATCTTCGAATTCATCGCTAGCGTTTCCAGTCTTAAAAAAGGGCGAAAAACATTCATGAAAGATATTTAAAGATGTCTGTGTTGATTTGCATTTAATGTGACAAAAAGCAGTAGTATTAGTAGGCGGGGCGGGAAAACCGCGAAATAATACGGTGCACCGCCATCGCCCCGCCACGGGGCGAGGCAGTGTCACACCACGACTCGTCCATCTTTGTTGTAGACATAATTCGTCTTCTTGATTATTTGACAATGAACGAACACTATGAAGAAATTTGTATTACGACCAAAGATTTATAAGCATCTATACCTACTGAATAACAGACTAAGGCTTGAAGAACATTTTTTTAATTCTTTTTTAATTCTTTTTGTTGAAGGAGTAATTTAATATCTAAAGAGGAAGAAAAAGGTATGCAATAATTATAACAGAAAATTGAAGTCCTACCGTTATTCATGTTTATCTTCGTCGGAAAAAATTCGACGAATACGAAGAGGGTTTTTAGAACGTTTTTGTTCTGTTTTTCTTTTCATTTGAGCTTTAATTAATCTATATTTTAATGCATCAATCTGTATTCTATATATTTGTGGAATAGCGTTGACTTGTTTTTTCAATTGTTTAATCTGAATTGTTAGGTTTTTATTTTCACTTTTTAAATTATTATTTTCCATTTTTAAATCACTTAATTGAAACATATAGTCCAATTTAATGCTTGCAATTTCACTGTTTAAATGATTGATTTCTGAAGACATTTGACTGATTTGCGCAGCTAACTGAAAAATGAAAAACAAAGTCAGAATTTATTTCTATGACATTTTTAATTTGTCAACCAGGCAACAATATTAACTCATGACATGGCTAAATAAAAATTATGCCTCAAGTAGAATACTTATTTATTGCTTTTACAAGGTTTGTATTTCTCTTGCAGTTTGTATGCTTAACTTATCGTGTGTTTACCATTGCTGTACTCAACATTCCGGCTCCTGATAGACTTTATAGAGAATGTAAAACTTATCCTGTCATTTTCGGCCTTTTGTGCGTAATATTTTCGTTTATATTTTCCGTCCTAAAAGCATAAAATAGATCGGTTCAATTTTTAAATTATCTGAGTAAAATAAATAGATGCAAACAGTGAGGAAAGAAATATGAAAGAAGTGAACAATGATTGGTACATGCAGGTGATCCATTAGAGACGAGGAATGAGTAGCTCAAATTTATTTTATAAGTTTTCATTCTTTTTCAGGAAAAAGTGCCCAACTTTATGCGGCTCATTACATGGATCATGCTTGTAGCGAAAAAAAAATACAAACGTGCAAAACGGAAATCATGCAAAATGGTAAACGTATAGCTAAGAGTAAGAGTTACATCATCACTTACGTCTTCAGAAGAGGATGGCAATGAAACGTTAGGCATCAGCTATAAAATAGGATAAATTTAAGAAAAGTTTTAAAAAGCAAAAATCTTATAGAAATGTAAAAAGAAGCTATCTAACAAACAAGATTAGATATCACGACAACCAATCAAGAACGATATGAACACGTAAGTGTAAAAAGACACGAGATTAATGAGCAAAGCAATGTTCTTAGAAGTGCACATATATGGATCAGGATTCTACTAAAATATAACTTACGATTACTCTAACTGCTTGTTTGCACATTGTATCTGTCTAAAAAATTACACGAAACATTTTTATAGAAGAAATGCAAGGTTATACATGCTTTTTTGAAAAGCAAGTCTATAATAGTATTGAAACATCCAAAAAATAATGACACAACAAGCCACAAACCTTGAGGCTTTATTAATGACTAAAGAAAAAGGTCAGCACAATATCTTTCAACTATTTATCACTCATAAGCGAAGATCTGGAGAAAAAGCACCTGGTTGACCAACCGTGACAAATAAAAATCGTCATTTTAAGTCCCTATTTATGACAGACGATAACTTTAAGGACTGGCCATGCGTTCTTAATACCGGTTTTATACAATGGAGAAAAAGCGAATCTCAAAATTGAATCTTATAAAGCCTTTTGAGATCTTTCTGAATATAGTCATCTGATGGCTCTTGAATATGATGATGCAGAGATGATAGCTTTTTGTATGATCTTATCTGGTGTTCAAGATCTTACGTCGGATTTTTCGACCTGGTCTTTCATCTTGACAAGATCTTTCAAGAATCTTTTTGTACAAATTAGTGTAGATAAATGAGACCATGATCTTCTGTGCGATTTCGTCTGATCTAACACAATCTTACGTCTGATTCTTGTGACTCAGGAATGGAAAAGCCTATTGTATATGATTGTGTACGGACTGATATATCAGTCATTCAAGAACGAGTGATTAATCAAATCGTTAATAAAATTACTCCCTTACAAATAATGAAGCCCACTGGCAGAAAAAATTTACTTTCTTTTCTGAATGCACAAAATAATGAGTGAAGAATATTGTATCTAAAAAAGAGAAAAAAAGTCGTTTTTCTTTTTTGTGCGTATGTCAAATAAAATGAAATTATACAGAGTAATATCATTTTTGTTGAAATTGGACGTCATTGTTGTGACCAGAGAAATTCGCCATTTCACTATTGCATTAACCTTCAATACAAACAACAAGATCAACAGATAGCGCACAATATATAAGAATGTAAAGAAGTGCATATGTGGCAGATCATTTCAGAGTCTAGTTGAGGTTAGAGTTAGAATGAAAATGTTCGATGATTTAAAGAATGAATGGTTTATATTTATTTTTGTTTATCTAAGAATGAAATTTTGCTCGGAAATGAAATTATATAAAGATCAGTGTTTCTAATGAAAGATTGTACCCAGCAAAACAAAAGTATCGTACGCTACTGAAATAGAATTTGTACGCTGTGAAAAAAATAGCGTGTATAGTGTACACGCTGTATTTCTTTTTTACACGTTGATATTTTACAAAAATCTTGCTTATTTATGCTGAGCAATGAAAAACGTTTCTTCTTGAACGTGATTAAGACTGTCGATATCATGTCATGTCAAATAGAAAGAAAGATAGGAGCGCTATTATATCATGCGTCCCATGTACAATGTTGGTTGAGTCATTTCTCACTACTACAGTGTATATTATATAGATTGAATTTTGCACTATAATGTAATGCGCATTGCCCATTCTACATGTAAGAAAAGTACAAGACTTTGCTCATCGTTTTAATGAAGCTTAAGCGAAACTGGATTTTTTTCAAGGATCTTAAAACGATCAGACAGAAGAAAATACTAGAAGATGAAATTAATGCAAAGATTTCTTAAATTTATTTTATATTTCAGAATCTTCAACTACTAAAGATTGTTCATTTTTGTTTCATCTCATAGTCATAGATGTTCTTCTTTATATTAATTTCAGATAAAACTCATGCAATCTTGTTAAAAGGAAAAATTGTCAAGAGTTAACAATCGTCAATAAAAATTCATCGTCATCATTACCATCGTTATTAGCACCACAGATAGAACTAAATTTGGTTTTTATCTAGTTATTTTTATTCTCAGTGATGTTGTGCATCAACATCAACATGTTTTAATGCAATAATTAAATCATTTAAATTGTTTTTTCGTATGGGAGTATTAGAGTCGATCGGGGTGAATGGTCACAGCCAATAAATTTCTTGATTTTGAAGATAAAAAACAAAACTTGCTAGAAAAGTTGAAGAAAAAACATTTTTCTATTGATCTATATTTTCATTTTTTTTTAAATCTTCGCTGGACATTACTCAACATGAGCTTTTGTGAGACCTACTGGAGGGTATGCCGATTTACCCCTAATGGGGTAAAATGGCACCACTGGCAGCAGGTTTTAGCATAACAGTAAAATCAAATTTCTGAAGCCATTTCAAATAGTATTACGATCAGAAGAATATCATTTGATAGCCCAAACATTTCTCTACAATTCTATACTAACTGTATCTAGAGGTGTCAGCCATACGGCTGAGCCACCGCCGCAGCCGATTTTTCTAGGACATCAGCCGTCGCCGCCACCAAATTATTTGTATTTTAAAAAATTTTTGAGGAGCCGCCGCTGTGTAAAAAAAGCTTTTGCCGTTGCGCCGCTGGCAGTAATAAAAAATTTTAATAGCGTTATCAGCCGCCGCTGTTATTTATATATATGTGATCGAATGTATTTATGTTAATTTTCACCACTTGAATTTATAACCAATCATAAATTTCGTTCATGAATGTGAATGAGAAAGAAAATTTCTGTGTTTGGATTAAAAAAAGAAACAAAGCTGCTTTAACGATCATAATGCTATTAAGTCATCGATATTCGTAGTAGCTTTTTACTTATCTATATGATTGCTGATTTATTTATTTATTTTAATAACATTGGTGAGTATTACTTATCTATAATGTTGGTGTTATAATTTATTTACTTTATCTTTATTAGTAGTAGTGGTTATTGATCGATAATATTGTTGGGTTGTTTATTTACTGGAATTATATTATTGGCTGTTACGTGTAGATAGTATTGCTGGTTTATTTATCTACTTTATCTTTAGTGGTAATTATTTCTTACCCATAATACTGATGTTATTACTTATCTACTTTACCTTTAGTAGTGACTATAATTTATCAATAATATTGTTGCGTTGTTTATCTATTGGAATTACATTGTTGGCTATTACTTATCAATAGTATTGTGAGTTTATTTTTCTATTTGAATCATATTGGTGAGTATTAATTATCGATAATATTTGTATTATTATTTATCTACTTTATCCTTAGTGGTGGTTATTGCTTATCGATAATATTGTTGTTTTCTTCTTTTATTTTAATTATCCAATATGCCACACAACACAGAAAAGATACACGATTTGAATAAAGACCTTTTTGTCAAAATAAAAATACCAAATGTACCACGACCATCGTTTATATGGAACTATTTTGGGCATTTATATAAACTCCAATTTTTAACTTAGCCGCCGCCGCCGCCACACAATGACTAATAATTTTCAGCCGGCGCCACCGCTGTGGAAAAAAATTTAAGGAATTATATAGCAGCCGCCGCTGAAGAGCGTACTCCTTTAAATAACGAGCCGCTGGGCATTTTGAAAAATTGAAAATTTTTCCCCACCGCCGCTGTTCAACCCTTCGGCTGACACCTCTAACTGTATCCTTTGAACTTCAGTTAGATTCACGCATCAACGATTCTACAAAGAGCATCGGAAAAAATGAACGCCCAATTATCCCATGTGAAGTAAATGGGCACTACAACGTATATATGTGAGGTGAATGGGCATTTTTGAGTCATTTTCAATGGAACTTTTAAAATCTAATTTTGAAAAGATCTTGACATTTTATAAGAACAGTTTTTCGACAAAAATGTTCGTCATGCATAACTGATCACACCTATACCTATCACCGTGAATTGACTAGTGAAAATTTATGAGTAACACGAGAAATTTTACTTGAAAAACCGATATTTTCAAAATATTTTTTAAATAATACAAGTCTTAACTCATGAAAATTATTGATAGTGATTAAAAATAAGCATAGGATGGTAAAGAATAAGCAACATTAGTTCACCGGCAGGGCTACCAGCCGTACCCCATTTGAGCCTTTTGTACCTCAAAACAAATTGTACCTCTGAGGTACGCATTTTGTACCCCATCTGCATTTTTCGATGTTACGACTACTATCATCCATATTGTGGTTGAAATGCACAAAATTATTTCTTATGCGTACTCAATTCCTTACTCGAGTGCATTTGTCGACGGCGTTTTTAGTCATATGAGAAGCACATGGACAGCCAGTCGCAATTCGATGGTGAATGAAACGATAGCTGCTGAATTGAAAATCAGATTGAATAGTACTATGACATGTGAAGATTTTTTTTTGTTTTGCTCAAATACAACCGCAACTAATAAAGTGTGCCAAAAGCAGGGCTACCAGCCGTACCCCATTTG